CTGAGCTCCGGTTCGGATCGGTGACTCAGCATGGCTTCACGTCGACTCCCCTTCCCCCTAGGTTATCTAGTAGCTCCGCCCCCTCAACCAGACATTGTAGATTGAAGATGTTGTTGGTAATTTACAATTTGTAAACAAGTGATTGAACGAGTAAATGGATAATTTCTACATACAGCAAGGCTGACTAAGTTCGGGTTGAAGCTTATTTAACAAGTCAGGCCTGAACGAATGATCATCGGTCCCATCAAAGCTGCATTCAACTTACTTATCCTCGGCTGACTTTGAGACTTGCGCTCGAGTCAACACTGATGAACTGTCGTTAAGACGGCTCGTGCTCGAGCCAGGTTGTTGAGCTCCGTTCGGCGGAACGGTCCGGGGATTAGAGGTTCATGTAAGATGCATTATACATTGTGGGGGTGCCCCTCCTCACGACAGAGACCTGACACGATAAAAGTAACATTGCGAAAGCGATGGTTCGTATAGAACTATAGATTATACGTGTGGGGCAAGACATGGAAGGCACACGGTGACTTACATTATGTCGGAAGGACCCTCGGTAGCCGGCCACACCCGCCGATCTATGCTGTTGGTGCCGCAATAGATTATACTCCTGCGACGACGACGAGAATCCATCATCGCAACCGTCTCTCGACGATTCTTACTGTTTGCTTCCTTATGTGTCTGATTTCATCTGCTATCGTTGCGAGTTCATGCAATTCTTCGTGGCTAAGACTAGGCTCTAGAATGACATCTCCTGGTACCGACTGACAATCAGAAGTGTCTGTTGGAGCCCCCGATTGATCAGCTAGTTCGCATAATCGCTGAACTAGGTCCCTTTTACCACCTACAAGGATGTTATGCAGCCGATACTGCAGCAAGGTGCATCTTACCGTCGGAAGCAATACCCTTCTGTTTACACAACGTTCGCAACTGTCCGACGCGCATGGCCCCAAACTGTTGATGGAGGTCGGCCATTATAGTTTTTTGAATGGAAACTAAATTATACACGTTTGACATGGTAGAAGTATTAGGTGGTAGTGGTAGAATCCACTATAGTGAAGTATTCCTTTTCCAGTTTGATGATGGCTTAAAGTCGCGATGTTCGTGGTGGCGTTGAGGAAACGCAAGAGTGCAAGTTAGGACATCCTTTAGTCCTCTTCTTCCTCATGCCTTCCCTGTCGGCGCCCCTAGGAGTTTTTGTTGCGTCTCTGAGGAGTTGCAGGATCTCCGACCATTGGTTTATCTGATGATGGCCACGTTTAAATGTCGATCAGACGGTGAAGAGTTTAGGGCGAGCGAGACTTCGTCATCTCTGTGCGAATTAGCCGAATTGTCTACTGTGAGAGATTTCTCTGTATGGTCTGGTGTGTGGACACTTCGTGGTGGTTGTTAACTCGCACGTTGAGAAAGCCTGAGTGACCTGGTGATAGCTGCGAAAATGTAGGGCTACGCCCAGCTG